AATAACCTGAGGGGGGTTTTGTGATACAGCGGCACGGTAAACGTTCTGGGCACCTTCAGGTCTCTGGTTTGTGGCGAGTTTTGAGTTCGGGTAGAGTGGGGGAGTTCCTGCTGGGACATACTGCTGAGATTGCGGGATGGGCATCATGTAAACGGGGTAGTTTTGTTGCTGATGAGAGTAAACCGGGATGTATTGTGACGGGTGAGGGATGTACTGAACGCCTTGGTGTAAGAAAGGTTGTTGAGGCGAAGGTTGGTGTTGGTGTTGGTGTTGTTGGTCCATAGTTGTGTATGTACCTGGCTGAGATAGGACGTGGGATGTGGTTTGGGCTGAAGTGGTTTCAGTATGAGGTAAGACGTGGGAAGTTTGGACAGATGTTGTTTCAGGCTGTGTCACTGGGCCTCTTGGCAGAGATGGAGCTTGATCTTGGTAGTACATCGGCTTTGAGAATGAAGTAGCAGAAGAAATGCTAGTATCACTGTATGTATAACAACAAGAGAAATCAGATTTAGTATCATCAGACTCAAAAAAACAAAGTTAACAACATCTCTTGTAACACTATGGTTCAAATGTGTTAAGAGTACTCCAATACCCAAACAAACCAAAAACTCTAAGAACTCGGTTGAAAAATCTCTCAATATTGATAAAGATAAAACAAGAGTCTTAACTCTGAAGCATTTGCCATTTTCCATTGATAACCATACTTCAAACCAGTGATCTATAGCTACTTAGCCTACTTGCGGTAACATCTCCATATGACTTCGAATCATATAGCACAATTCAAACCAGTGATCTATCTCTCTTTAGCTACTTAGCATTTTCAAGGAAAGCTGAAGAAAATGATGGAGAAACCAAGATCATTTATCTATCTAAACAACTACAGAGGCTCCTTTTAGTAAAGATTTGTAGATCGATAGAACATGATTTCAGTACATTGAACAAAGTGTCTTGAGCAAATGAAGACTGATAGTAAAAGATGAAAGTACCTTGCAACGGAATCAGGTGATGTCAAGCCGTACCCACCGGCAGCTCGCGGTGGGATAGCCACTGGCTGCATCGGCAAAGGTGGCTTCCTGTAGCCAGTCGTTACACCTGGATCGGATCGATCATCGTCCGGTGAGACCTGACCATTGTTTACGGCAGTAGCAGAAGCACCATCACTAGGTGCGTTGTTATTATACGCCATCGAAGCATTGGTCATCGTCGTACCCGACGGGACAATCATCGGCCGATTTGCCATCAAGCCAATTCCATCTTCAAATTGTCTCTGAGTGTTCACGTTTGAGAAGCTCATCTGTGCAAACTGTTCCTCGATCCTCTGTTCGTCATTGATTCTAACGCGAATCGGTGGCAAATTAGCCGTGGACGGAGAAGACGAAGAGGATCCGATCGAAGAACCGGCTGCTTCCATCATCGGCGAATCAGGCATCGAGCTCATATGCATTTCCTGATGCGAATTCACACCGTTAGCGATCGTATCCCCTCGCTTGTTGTTCTCGCCACCAACATTAGTTTCTAGGTTTTGGATCTCGGATTCTCCGCCGCTAGCTTCATCGAGATTCACCAAAGTGTTATTCACGGCGGCGGAATCCGATAAACCACGAGGAAGCAAACCGGACTGATTCAGTGCATCGACGAACCAGGTGTCCGATTTCGCGCCGTCAAGCAGAGATCCCATGGTAGCGGCGGTTTCGAGCTTGTTAGCGAAAAGAAACAACCGGAT